TGTGTGTGTGTGTGTGTGTGTGTGTGTGTGTTTGCCGTTTCATTCCCCGGCCTGGTCAGGTAGTCGGTGCTGACCCAGTTAAAATGCAGCAGCCTGGCAGACAGACGGAGTGCAAGTGCCCCGCCACCCTCATCCCTTCTACCACCAGCCCCATGGTGTCTGCTGGGAGTCCAGCCATATGTGATTTAATGATGCACCAATAAGCACTTATCTGTGGCTGTTACTTTTTAATTTGTATCATGTCCGGGTGAAGTCTTGGCACAAATGAGTCCTTTAACTGAGTGACCTTGGGTTACAATACCTTTTTTATAATACACTGAACATATTTAGATTTTGGACTCTGGGTGGGACAAAATAAGCAACAAGATGAGGGTAACAGGTGTTGGAAAATTCCAATTGGAATTTTATTCCAAATGTTTCATGAAAAAAAATCTCAGCAGATGCATGATTAATGCTGTGATACCATTTTCACTTCCCAATACCTTGACTTGCATATTGGCTGATATTGAGCACTGATCCAATACCAGTGCATTCACAACAGTAAGAACTTTTATATGTATTTTAACAGCTGTATGTTACTATGTTCCTCTCTTTAAAGATGTGGTATCAGATCATTACATAGATTCATGTACTCAGTTTGTCTTTAATAGTAATAATAGCCTTTATTATCATTGTGAGCTGTGAGCAGACATCCTCCCTAATTACTATTCAGTCTTTGAGAGACGCAAAGTAAATACACGCAGGATAACTTTGGATCTTTATACAATAGTTTAAAAGAGGTTAATATTTGAGCTTTAGCTTTCTGCCACAGTTTTCGATCAACAATTAATTTCCCTAAATCAATCGACAAAAGTAAATAAAAGTTTGTGTGTTCGCCTCCAGGTTCTGCCACGCTCACCATTTCACCACGAAGCGATTAATTTCATCATTCTGTGTGAAATACACTTCGCAATGGGAGTCTGAGAATGCATTCTTCTTCCAAAGAGTTATTTCCCTCCAGCTCAGCGGGATGCCTGCTCAGTATTAGTGACGGCTGTTAGGCCTCAGTAGTTTTTGGTAGGTGTCCAGAGGTGCAAGTGCATGGGCGATGACACAGGCGCAGCATACGTCCTCCCTGCTCATAAACCAGCCTGATTGTCTTTAATTCCTCTCTGACTTTTACCACCTTGACCTTAATTTGTTCTGATTAGAAGCTGAAAATGATCACCTGATTACCAGCAATATGCGTGTTATGACACACGTGTGCCAAACTGGACTGCCGCTTTACTTCTCACACAGCGCGTCCAAATTAATATTCACCGCGGTTTGCCTGGTCTTTGTTGATTTATTGGCTCAACAGCAATTTCACCGAGAACAACACAATGTTCCGCGTATATTCAACTGACTTGTGCAATATTCTCCGCGCCCACGCACTCACCAGCTAAGGACGCCAAGCGGGGTTTACATGAGAGTGTTGTAAATGTGTGCAGTCTGGGAGGCCAGGGCATTTCACAAACTATATGTTTGTTATTTTTTGAATTCAAGTATTTTATGAATTATCTGCTACTGCATTCAGCTATATAATATTGGATTTTTTGTTTGGATCCAATATTAATATTTGATATGAGGTTTTTATGGCACTAAATTAATTCAAACACCATTTAGAACAATAAATTCTTACATATAAACTTGTCAGTTACTTTTTTTCATACAGATAAATGTAATTCTTCTGTTTAAGTGATCTTATTACATTTTTACATTATTTATTCTTCTTTTCCCTGCAGGTGGACAACCGGCCTAAATACTATGGGAGAGAGTAAGTTTACACTGTATTCTCTATTCATCAGACGTGTTGCCAGAGACATTTCAACATTGTGTTTCCCACATGCAATTTAAAAATCTATCATTTTACTCCTCTCTGCTTCCAGGTACCATGGGATGATCTCGAGAGAAGAGGCCGACCAGTCACTGAGTCAGGCCGAAGGCAGCTACCTCATCAGAGAGAGTCAGAGACAACCGGGCACATACACACTGGCTCTAAGGTGTGTTTGCGTTAGACTCATTTCGAGACACTGAGAGCTTTTTCACATGTGAAGGTTAGAACCTTAATCTAGAGACTCCATCTAAATCTAAAGAAATAAATACATTCTTTTATTTATAAGCTGCCTATTTACAGTGAAATATTTTAGGAAACACGTGATAAAATTTGTTTGAGATATTTTGCTTCTCCCCCAAGACCTTGCAAAAACTGTTGTTGGACCTTTATCACCTTTGCATGCACGTATTTGTGTGTCAAGGCAAGAAGCTATGTGTGGTCTTGTGTACAGGCCCCAGTTGTTGTAAGGTGTGAGGGTTTAACCCCTCCCTGCCCTCAGTAAAGGCAGCAGTCGAGCTTTAAGCTGCTCAGAGGCACTCATCTCTAAACTCACATGGCATCGCACGCCACCTTCCAGCGAGCCTTCCCTCGTGAAGAGAACACGAGAGAGGAATAGTTTCATTTAGCTACATGTTTCCTGAATGTTTGTTTTAGGAGTCATTATTGCTATAGTGATTCAGTGTTTTACACTGAGGTACATGTGTTTGAACCATATGTTGCATCCAAAGGAGCCTTTTCTGTATCCTTAAAACCACTCTGTTCCCTTGGCCTAATTACCTTGTAGGCAAATGACTTTCTATCATATCACTCCTCAGTTTGACTTGAATGGGAGCCCTAATTTTTCTCAGAGTAGGTGTCACACTTCTAAATGGGTGCCTGACTTAATTTGAATGTAGTTTCGGGTCAGTTTATTCTATTCATAACCGTGTCATTCTTCCACCTGCGCAAGTTCCTCTCCCTTCCACCGCCTCGTTCAGCCCCGTGGTTATAATTAAATTCCATAAATACTCTTTCATAAACTGCAGCGTCCCAGTCTGGGTTGGCAGAAAAGGAAAGGTTGGATTTTGGGTTAATGATCTAATGACGCTGTTTAATCTCGCGGTCGGTTCCGTTGTGATCCACGGAGGAGCAGATGATGTGTTGGCCCAGTTCAGGGACACAATATAATAATATTAATACTTATCAATTGACTAAACCTCAGGGGTCGGAGAATAGATGTTGCCTGTTTTTTACCAGTCTGCCCTCCTTCATCCCAACCCCAGGTTCGGGAACCAGACGAGAAACTTCCGTCTCTACCACGACGGGAAACACTTTGTCGGAGAGAAGAGGTTCGAGTCCATCCACGACCTGGTCACGGACGGCCTGATCACGCTCTACATTGAGACAAAGGTGTCCGTTTGTCTTCGCATTCACATGTCCTTCCCTCCCCTTCAGCCTTACTTAGAAATCACGATCTACCTTTAAAAGCTAAAACTGACAGCATGGAACAGGTGGATCCATGGATCAGGGTTGAAAGGGTGTAACTCTGCATTTAAAGACTTGCGCTTGCAGTTTGCCAGGTAAAAAAATCTGCTTTCTGGAATTACATAATAACCCATGATCGCCACTTGTTTTCTTAAACATATGGATCCCTGGATTCTTTAAAAACCACTAGAGAAAAAGGAAATATATAATTTTTCTCCTTTTTTGTGCACATTCTCTCCCATTACCTTTTTTTCACCCTGAAAACAGATCAGCTCCAGGCAATATTAAAATCAGAGTTGGAAAATGAAGCATATGTTCTTAAGTTTAGTCCAGGCCTCGTTGGATCAAATGTGGTTACACAGGCAGAAAGAAAGACGCAGAATCATTAATAATCTAAACCTGTGACAAATAATAATAAACGCGGTGCCCTCTCTTCTTTCAGGCAGCGGAGTACATCGCCAAGATGACCATAAACCCCATCTATGAACATGTGGGCTACACCACCCTGAACCAGGAGCCCACCCTGAAGAAACATCTGCCACTCAGCCCCGAGGCCCCCGACGGACCTGCTCCGACCAAAGATGACTGCAATGCGGAGGAAAGGGTGAGGACAGGACACTTCTAAATGCACTGATCATCCTGCAAGTAGTTTTAGCGCTTTAAAGTTTTTTAATTTTACAAAATACAAACGCTGACACTTTATTTCTCAGGGAATCACAGATATTTCATATATTCCACTATATTTCATCCTTAAAATTAATATTCAGCTGTTCACCCATAGAGATTGTTCAAAAGACAAAATGTATCAATTAATGGAAGCTGTATAGGAATTCTGTCCTAAACCATTCACCCATTATTTTATGTTATCGGCAAACTGGCCTGAATGTTTTGGATAAGAAATAGAGTAGTGTAGAGTATAGTCCAAAGAATATTCCTTTTAATATACCAACGTCTGAAAATTGGTCAAATCTTTGAATTGAGAGAAGTGAATTTCGTTATATACGCCATCACAGTATTTCTGAAATGTAAATGCATGATATCTAAAAGTTTGGGTAAAGGTAAGTTAAGTTCATGGCTGCACAGTGCTAAGCTGGAAGGATGAGAGTTGAGGAACCTGGTGTAAGAAGGAACAGAAGAACGAGGAGGAGGAGGAGGAGGAGGATGGATGCAGAGGACTGATGGCCTCCAGCCAAGGGCTCTGCAGTAAAATTACATAACAGCAGTTTGCCTGCAGAAACCTGCTATCTCCCAAAAGCCTCTGACTGAGTACTCGTGAGGGGAGTTTGTTATTGGCTCGTTAGTTTCAGCTCCGCTGTCCATTTAGTTCTTATTCATTGACTTTTTCTGGGGGTGGAGCTTTTTGCACAGGATGAAAACAAAAGCAGCAAAAAAATGTGCAGAGGTGAGGTTACTGCACGACGCAGGAACTGACTCTAATTATAAATCAACATGCTACGTTAAATGTAAATCTTCCATTCTGCAGCTGCGTGTTTGTTCAGGCAGGTGCAAGGAAACGAGACAGAGGAGGATGCAGATCAACTGCTGCAGAACCTTGAGGAAAAGCCGCGCGTATTTAAGTGTGAAACGGTCCAGTTACAACGGACCGTTTTTAACAACAACAAGCTCAGGAGGAAGTGCTGTGTGCAACATGCAATGCGTTTATCTGCCACACCAGTGCTGAGCTTCCTGAGGCCTTGTATGACCTGCAGCGCATGACCACCAACGCTGCACCTCATACATCACTGTCTACATTTATGTGTGTGAAGTGGGAATGGGCCTGTGTACGTGTGTGCTTTCATAATTGGGTGGATTTGCAGACAAAGCAGTACGGCTGTGACATTGAGACCAGAGGTAGCTCTCTGCAGGGAAGTCAAACATCCACGAGATACATATTTCATATGTTCACACGGCTAATCAACGTTTGCAGCGAGTTAAATGCAGCTTTATGGTCCCCGCAGGGAAAATAGAGACGTGGTCCTGGTGATGAGTTTTTAAAAATTCATTTTTAGGGCCTTGTTCTGGTGAGATTGATTTGACTGGAGAGTGAGAGGAAGCAGCAGGAATTTGGTTTCAACACAGAATAAAAAAATCTACTAGGAGATTTAAGGTCAACGGATGATATCCTCCATTCACTTCTTTCCTTTCCATTTTTATTTCTACGTCTGTAATCAGGGGGTTCTTTTGGCTGAAACCCACCACCTCTCAACTCGCAATGAAAACATCATTAAATAACCATGACCAGTCATACATATTCACTGTGCTATGTATATGAGCCGAAGATTATGGAATTTGGATCTGCGGTTGCTCCTCGAAGGGATTTTTGTGATTCCCTTTTTTTTTCCTCATACATTCCTCAAGATGCCCCAAAAAGAATAGTTTCATTAGTCAGTGTCAAAGATCAAAACACAACTGAAAGCGTGTAGATCTCCCCGCAGTAACAGGATTGAATGCCTTCCCACTGCTTTATTTGTTGACAGTCCAAACATCCCTTATACTAGAACTGACACTTAACCAGAAACCTGCAAAATGCTTATTTAGCCTTAAACTACTCTTATATAACGTCTGTTCTATGATCCAAATTAATGGGCATGGAGCAAATTAAGGGTGTAGGATTGTGTAATTTCTGTAATGAAATTGAGATTTTCGAGTAACGCACACCGCTGTACAGGTCTTTGGGGGAAAAATGGAAATATTATAGGATATTGCAGGTAGAATGAGAAGCGGATGGAGGGAAACAAAGAGGAACAAAAAGTGTGAACAAATGAATTAAATAACAGCTTTTCTCTCCACTCATTCTTCCCCCTTCTTTCTCTCCTGGGACAATCAAGGGGGGCAGAATCGGTGGCGAACAACAAGAATCCCTGAATTCCGATTGGCTCCCCTCACTCTCAATGTGACCTGTTAAATTCATTCGCCGCTGCTCTGTTGCTCAGCCTCCCCCCTCCTCTCCTTGCTCTCACCGCCTCTGTCCTTCCCTCCTCCACTGGTACTGTGTGTGTGTGTTTGTGTGAAAAGCGGATTAACGCACACACTGAGCCATGTGGGCTGAGACGCTCACCTACACGAGACCGAGAGACGGCAGCGCTCATTCTGCCGCATCAGTACCAGTGTGACGGATTTTGCTTCCAGGACGATTAGTTGATTTATATTCCTTGAACTTTCTCTGGGTATTTTTGAGCAGGCGGATGTGTTTTTCGACTGGCTGGCTTTTGTTTTTTGTTATGAACTGGAATTGCAGCCCCGACAGCTGCAGAGCTAATCTGATTGGCTGATCTTTGTGGTACCAAAACAGCAAGATTGGTCCTGTGTCTGCTGTGTTGGCTCCTTGGTTTACGATGTTGTTGTCAATATGCAGTTTTAATTTGATTTGTGAGTCTAGCTGCATATTTATTTAATTCTATTTTATTGACAAAATATTTTCAAGAATATTTCCCTTTTTTATGTCATATTTTTTGGCATTCTGATTATTTAGTAGTGTGATTCAGATTTTGGTCTCTGAGGCAATATATTTTATTTCAAATTCAATACCAAACCCGCAGCTCCCACAATGCCGAGCTGTGAGTCGCACGTGATTAAACGGGGTAAAAAGCATTCACGCAGGCAAGCCAAGAAGGAAACAAGTCAGAAGGGCTCTTTGTTTACAGCAGCTTTCGGTTTAAATGTCAGCGCTGGATCAATTCCCTCCCTGCCGGTCTCCGGGAGCACATCGGACCCTAGCACGGGCTCTGGAACCCATCTCAACCGGGTGCCAGCCCCCTCTAAACCCACCTCCCCTGCTTCCACCTTCTGGCAACCAATCAGATCTTTTGCCCTTTCGCAGCTCACATCGCTGGTGCGGCGGGCCACCCTTAGGGAGAGCGACTTGGCGCCCAAGTACGAGAAGGTCCACAACTTCAAGGTGAGGGACTCCTTCGCTCTCTTAATCCTCTGTGTGTTCTGTGTGTGTATATTTGTGTGCGTGTGTTAGTGTGTACTGAAAAATGCCAGAGTTGCTGATTCAGCTCATGGGGTCTTATTCAAATTGACCTCAGAGAACACACTCACACACACACTACATTTACATTTCAAACCTCTGTTTAGTGCCTCCAACTCCCAGATTTCCATATTACATGCAGCCATTAGCAAAGAGCACAAAGGTCAGAGCCACAGTGTCCTTAACTCAAGGGAAATGTGGATGAACCCACACTGACAGACACACAAAAAGCCCTGTGATGTGATGGAGGTCATTAGCATTTCAGTTATAGAACCAATTTATGCCATAAATGAGCAGATCGAAATCTCCTCTCCCTAAATGTTTTTATATTATTTTGCCATCATTCTTTTGTCAGTGCCTGTTATTGCTGTTAGTCATGTATCACCTAACCCAGTCGGGCTTATCTGAATATCTTCTCAATTTGCTGTATTCATTTTCCTGTTAAATTAACCTTTTTACTGTCTGTCTTTAAACCAGGTTCATACATTCAGGGGCCCCCACTGGTGTGAGTACTGTGCCAACTTCATGTGGGGTCTCATCGCTCAGGGAGTAAAGTGTGCAGGTAACCAACCTAAAACACACACACATCAGTGTATTCTACATTCTTTCACTCATCACAAAGAAAAGTGCCATAACAGATTCCGTCTCCTTTTTGCCATGTTCGACATGTCGCATCTCCTCTCTCTTAAGTCGTGACTCAAAAGTAGACAGCAGGCTAAAGTTAGTCACTAGTGCTGTTGACTCATCTGCAGTGTATCACAGATTTCAAATGTTAAAAGATTCAGCTCGGTGCCAAAGAACAGAGTGTGTGTGAGTATTACTGTGTGTGGGTGATGAACTGAGCCTCTGCAGCACCTACGTGAACTATGGAACTTTTACCATCCAGGCTAGTTACTATGCTTTGACATGAGCTTTATGGACAAAACTGCACTGTCCTGTAAAGAGATGAAAGCAGCATACCGGAGCACATTCGTCACTTTCTTCAGAAAGTGATGTGAAACCATCTCTCGTCTTTCTCCCCGTCAGACTGTGGGTTGAATGTCCATAAGCAGTGCTCCAAAGTCGTGCCCAACGACTGTCAGCCGGACCTGCGGCACGTCAAGAAGGTGTACAGCTGCGACCTGACCACACTGGTCAAAGCCCACAACACCAAGAGGCCCATGGTGGTCGATATGTGCATACAGGAGATCGAGGCCAGAGGTGAGAGCGCGTTGAGAGTGTTGGTGTGTGAGCGTATTTGATTATAGAAAAAAGCTTGTATGTATTGTTCGACAACCTTAAGAGAAAATCCTCATGGCTAGCATGTGTATAGAAGATGTGTGTGTCCCAGTGGTGGGGTGTGCACAAGCTGAATAAATGCTGCTGCAGACAGGAGTTTATTGATTGTGATTCAAGACCGGAGTGAAACTAATATGTGAAATCAATAGAGACAACAACGTGAAGTGATTGAACTTGACTGGAAATTGGACAGCTGGAAACACGCCCAACCCCCCCCTACACACACACACACACACACACACACACACACACACACACACACACGCTTGTTGTTTACTCATAGAATCTTTGCGGTAACTCTCACAGTTTAAAAAAAAATAAAAAAGATTTCAATAGAAATCGCTTATAAATCCCGCTGCATAAGTACAGTGTTTTTTCGTTCAGGTTTTCGGTTTCTATCACTGAAAGCTGTTGAATCTCATGGCCTTTCCATCTTTGTTACATTCAGCCCCTCTGGAAATTTTCAGGAGTTCAAATATTCATATTTGAGAAGAACATAGACTTCTGGCACATAAAGAGTCTTAAATTATTAATCATCCAGATTATGGCCAATTATTAAAGCTGTAAATATTTAAAGACATTTTTCAGCCACACTCCAATTAAATTTTGATTAATATATTATATTAATGGTGGTGTCCCTTCAACTCTCCTTGTCTGACTCCAGGTCTGCAGTCGGAGGGTTTGTACAGAATATCTGGCTTCAGTGAGCTGATTGAAGATGTCAAGCTGGCCTTTGACAGAGGTGAGTGTCGCCCCCTGTTGTTCTTTTTCCTAAATATGTGAAACCCCCGCTGTAGATCACCATGACAACTTTATCGTCAGTAAAACATCAACACAATCTTTCAGAGACATTCTTTGAGGACACATATTTCAGTTTCCCTTTTCCACCGAAAGCAACTCACCGATTGTTTCTGTCTTCTTCCACAGACGGAGAAAAGGCTGACATTTCCTCAAATGCTTACGAGGACATCAACATCATCACCGGAGCCCTCAAACTCTACTTCAGAGAGCTGCCTATCCCCCTCATCACATATGATGCCTACCCACACTTTATAGAAACAGCAAGTAGGGCTTCTTGCTTTCCGTACTTTTCATAAAATGCAAAATTGAATGAAGGAGGCAGGAGGAACTTGACATCAAGGATCCTATCCTGCATATGTTAGAAGTCTGTTAAAGACTTGTATTTTTGCCTTTTTTTTAATGTTATTATATCTTAACTGATCCAATATCTAAATGTCCCCTGCCTTTTTTCACTTTTGTATTTTGTGTGTTTGCGTATCACAGAGATTACAGACCCAGAAAAACGGCTGGAGTCTCTCCACGAGGCCTTGAAGCTGCTGCCGCCAGCTCACTGCGAATCACTGCGATACCTCATGGGTCACCTCAAGAGGTCTGAACAAACTGGTTTCACTTCCTCACATCGATCCCTTAAATTGATCTTTTTTAGCTGTTGTGGTCATTTATTTTCTCGCTTCACATACTTACTCTTGCTCTCTCCATCCAGGGTGACCCAGTGCGAGAAGGAGAACCTCATGCCCAGCGAGAACCTGGGCATCGTCTTCGGCCCGACGCTCATGAGGGCCCCCGATCTGGACGCCATGACGGCACTCAACGACATCCGATACCAGAGACTAGTAGTGGAAATGCTCATTACCAATGAAGACGTGCTGTTCTGAGAGGAAAGGAGGGAAAGGACAGAAAGATCGGGACGATGCTCAAACAGTTACGCGTTGTGATAAGACGGAGGAACAAGGTGACCTGTTGACTTTTGACAAGGAAATGAAGGAGAAACTTCAGCATGGATAAAAAAGGCAATGAAGAAATATTTGCAAAGAAGAAATAAGAATAAAATGAGTGGCGATGGAAGGATGCAGTGTTTCCATTTATTTTTGATTAATAAACAAACTTGAAGCTTCCAAAAATAGCAACGCTATAACTGTAAAAAAAAAAATACTGGAACACTGAATACTGGGAAGGACAATTTTCCAGCCTTACTCAATAGAAATAAACAATTTCTGTTTCTTTAATGAGCGGCATCCCACCATCGCTACTTTGTTTCTCTTGGGAAAACACTGCAATCCATCTTTAAGTTCATATCTTCTCTTTCTTAAATGGATGCCTTGACATTTTTTTTTATTGTAATTTTTTTTTACCCTGCTTATTATACATCTTGCTGTTCTGGGGAGAAATAAAATCAGCTGGCCACGAGCAAGCAAGAATAAAGACACCAGTTGTTCAGTGGAAAATTAAGGAAACAAGCTTCCAAATCAATGAAGCAGTTAGGAAAACATTTTGGTTTCTGCTGTCAAGGTGTCCATTTAATCCTCGTTGAGAGTAGAAGAAGAAGCACTGATGTCAGAAGTGTAGGCAGCTGGATGAATGGATGAAGGAGCGAAAGTATCACTCATGCATTCCTCTCTATGGAATTTCAGTGACTTGGACCTATTGTGTTTTCATTCCTTTTTCAAAACTTTTTTTTTCCTTACAGCTCCTGCTGCCATTCACTGATGTGTAATTATGCAGTAAACCTTCTCTAACATAGATTTTCTTTTATTTGCTAAAATAGAAAATCAATGCGCATTTCCCCCTTTTTTTCATTTTACATTATAAGCTTTTGTTCCAAGAAATGTTTGCTGTGCTAAAACACTCAGTGTTTGAGCTTTGAATCGAATGACGGCATGTTTTTTCACTATTTCCGAACAAACCCTGTGTTCTTCCTCCTCTCCGCCTGCCTGCTTTGCCTCTGAGGGACAAAACCCTCTTGAAATATGACACGCAGTCAATTTATGACAAAAAAGGAAAGTTTCCGCAGCATATGTAAATGTAGCCTCTTCTAGTTCACAATCTGGGCCTTATTGCCATAGTTTCCCAAAATTAAACTAAAATAAACACAATTCTAACTAACTAACAATGCCTACTAACTAATTCAACAAAGACAACAGTATAGACACAGCATTAACCTGGCAGCTTGTTTTCATTTCAGATCTCATTAAAGATGGCTTTTGTTGTCGTACGTTACCCCGGTGACAGATTCTGAAGAGACTTCATTAGTGGCTTGAAATATGTGAAACCGTGCTTTACGTTTGTTTTTGCTTTTGTTGGTCGTTTTTATAAAGCAGTATTGTACTTTAGCAGTACTCATATTGTTGCACGGCTGCAGCTCAACAGATAAATGACGAATTGGCCTGAGCTGCATCATTCAGAACCTGGAGGTGGTGGGTTTTTTATTTGAACATTTTATATCATGTCTCATCCCAAATATTAAAACTCATCATGTCGTTAAGCGCTCGTGTTTGCAATCAAAGTGGTATTGGTGCTTCTCATGTTTCATATCCAGCACCAACCATGTAGTAGAACTGTGAAAGAAGGCCAGCTGGAGTTGTTTTAGTGCATACAGTTTTAGATTGTTTTACCTCTGCCTTCTACAGACACTGAGATTTCTCTCTGTAAATCAAATGCCATACAGAAAACAACAGGGTGAAGATCAGGTACTGGCCAAACATTGCATACGGCAAAGGTTTACTGTAATGTTTTGTCCACGCTCTGATGTGATTAAAGCAGTATAATCTGTGGGACAATGATGGTAATCAAATGTATTATGACTGGAGTGTATTTGTTTTTTTCTCTCTTTCTTTTATTGAAATTAGTGCCATTTGAAAGGGTGGGGGTGTGGATTGGACGCCTTCTACATGGACTGTCACCTCAACTAACACACTTCTTTTACTTCTACCCCCATTTCTGTCGGGGGTCACGGACTAACTCTTCCTGATGCATTTTAAGACACATTTCTCAAAGCAAAGATGGAGTTATGGATGTAAAAATCAAGCGCGTTGGGTGTAAAATAAGGTGACAGCAAGAAATCTCGTTCACTACCGTGTTGACTTACTGTTGTTCATATGTTCCAGGGTGAAAAATAACCCTACTGGTTTAACAACGTACTAACTTCAAACTAATCCGAGGACAATGTGTGGACCATCAGTGATCTGTGATGCTTGCTTTTTTGGGGGGCATCATGAAATTTTTTTTATTGTCATTGCTGTAAAGAATTTTCTATATGGTTTATGCATGGTGAAATTAAATTATTAAATATGTCTTTCAATTCAAAAATGTCTGATTGTATTACCCTCACCAAGGAGGTTATGTTTTTGCTTCTTACCCTTTGTTTGAATGTGCGACAGATTACGCAAAAAATACTACATGGATACCACGGAAATTGGTGTAATGATGTGGTAGGGGTCAAGGAAATTACATTTTTATACAGATCCAGGATTGTGAGATATTTTCCTTTATTGTTCAGACAATCGTTTATGGATCTTGATGAAAAATATCATGTATGTTAAGGGGAGTGATATTTATGCTCAGATCCAATTAAAAATCCATAATTACTGAATTTAAATGTGGTTTCATAAGGGGACTGCTGAGCCTCGGTAGAGGTTTGAGCTCTCCCAAGTATATGAATATTTCTTGAAACCCAGCTCATAACTTTATATTCTCCTTTAATGTATTGCAATGTTGCAGAAGTACTCTAAATCCTTTCCCCCCAGCATTTACTTGCCTTATTACCCCTTGGAATTATGCAAAATCCATTTCACAGGTTGCATCTGTCATCAGTAAGAAGTAATAAGTAAGTAAGTAAGACCTGAGGGAGTTCTACTTGGCAGATTGTTACACTTCAATCGGTTTTTAGACACTTGAAGCTGTAAAATTAAATAGAATCCACAAGAAAGCAGCTAAAATACAAAAACTACTGTAGGATTGCATTCAAGAATGAATTCCATATGCACCAGCGATATTATAGATCAATCAGTATCAGAAAAGAGTTAAATACACCACGAAAGTTAATGTTGTTTGCTGATATAAAGTCTATCCGCTGGTGAAACATGATGTGACGCAGTTTGTGGTGGTTGTGCTACAATGTCCCAGCATCAGTCTTACACCACGTGATCCCGATGCACTGCCTCGATTGGCCGCCGTTTAATTGAAGGTGCCTCGGAGTCTGGTGCGATCACGCAGGAGCTGCGGGACCTCGACACGACGACGGCTGCCTCCTCCGTTCCTCTTTTAAAAGTTCATTTTCGAAGTTTGATGTCGAGAAGAAGCGAGTGTGGGCTCCATCTGTCACTGCGATGAGAAAATTCAGCAGCGGCATCTTCAAATCATCCCCATCTTGAAACCAATAGGTGAGTTAACATCAGTTTAATGCGACGTCCTGCTGCCAATAGGTGAGTAAACATCACTTTAATTCTATAACGTGTACCAACATGTTGCCATTTTGTGCCATTTTGTCTGAAAGCGACTTTATGTTAACTGACGTCACATGTTGGTGCCGTTAGCTAACAAGCTAATTTTCCTCTTTGCTTCAGAACCATGTCGACGCGATGTTTTATGTTCGCCAATCAAATGTAACCTGTGGAGTGTTCGGGTGGTTATGAGTGTAATCTCTACGTGTGGAATTCATAGATTCGTACATGTTTCAATGGAAAGTTTGGAGATGACATTTGAGATCAGAATCGCAGGATTAAATACGCAGATACGACATTGGCCGTTTGGGCGAACGTCTCCGCCATTTTTGAATTGGGCAAAAGTGATCCTGTTTCAATTACGTCTTTTTTTTAACCCCTGTTATTATATTTAACTAAGTTGTATGCACTAGTACAACAATGTACAGTATATTACACTAGTATAACATAGTATGCGAAGATTTTTTTCCGTGTATAATCCACTAACATGGAGGAGGTGGGGTTTATACTGCACCAATTCACTAGATGGCGCTCAACACTCTTTAGGTTCGCGTTTATCATCCATTTCCTAATGA